CAGATGCCACCACCTCATTTTCTCATCAGTGTTCACACACCCAAATCACAGGTCACCAATTGCTAGCGCAAAGGTAAAAGGCCTCTTTCAAGGTCAAGAACTACGAAAGCAATTTTTTTTTAAGTATCTTTAAAAACGATGTTTTAAAATTTAAACTTGTAAATTAGAAACATAAAAAAGCAAATGGACCTCTAGAGAAATAGGCCCGGGAGGAAGAATACAAAAATCTACAATAGAAGAAATAGAAGTAGCATATGAGAAAAGTTCATCTGTCCATAAAACTCAACACTTTGCCCCATCCCTTTCAAATATCCACTTCGTGGTACTTTAGTTGGTTAAATGTTGACTTTGTCTTTCTAAGGAATTATACTATTTTTAAAAATTGTTATATGTTTGTTGTTATTATAAAGATGATGTACAGAGGGGTTACAGTTACATAAGTCAGGTAAAGAGAACATTTCTTTTTGGACAATGGCATTCCTTCCCTTGCTCTTTCCTAGTTTTTCCCTCCCAAGAATTACACTATTTGAGTTCTCCCTTGAATCTACTCCTTCCTTTCCCTCTCTCCTTCCCTCCCTCACTTCCTTTCTTTCTTCCTTCTTTCCTTCCTTCCTTCCCAGTATTGAGGTTCAATCTTGCATGCTGTTGCATGTATGGGAAAAGAAACATCTTGCATATTGAAGGAAGAGTTTAAACAGGTTCAGATTTCAAGTAATATACACTAAAAAGTATTTCCTGATTTTATAATAAAAATATCTTAGAGGCTAGCATAGATATCCAAGGAGAGATGTATTATAAAAACAGTACAATCTTAGAATAAAATATTCATTCACCTTTCTTTTATTTTTCCCTTGGAGTTAGAATTGGGGATCTCATGACTGGTTTACTGACTGGAGGCTGGCAGTCTACCATGCCGTGCAACTAGCCTTGCTTTTAGCTGGTTAGTTAGAGTCTCACAGACTTTTCTGCCTGGGTTAGCTTCAAACCACAATTCTCCAGATCTCATCCTAGGTAACTAGGATTACAGGTGTGAGCCACTACAACCCAGCTTCCAACAAGCTTTAAAAATTACACAGTAGCTGGGCCCACGTGGCTCATGCCTGTAACAGGAAGCCAGCCCAGCAGGGAATTCTCCAATTAACCACAAAAAGCCAGAAGGGGAGCTGTGGCTCAAAGGGTAGAATGCTAATCTTGAGCACAAAAAAAGATCCAGGACAGTCCAGGCTCTGAGTTCAAGCCCCAGGAACAGAAGAGAAAAAAAAAAAATCACACAGTTGTAGCTATTCATATGGGAAGAAGTTTACAATCTGTCAACATTAAAGGCAGGTGTTATATTTTTGTACTAAAAAAAAATCTTATTCAGGCAATTATGCATAGAAAATATATACGGAAGAATATTAAGAGTGGTAATTTGAACATCGTGTACTTATGCATTTTTAATGGGTCTCTTTCCTTATTGCTACAGCTTTCATTTTTCCTACAGCCAATATGCCCTACTTGTCACAATAAGCAAAGTTCTTAGGCAAAAATGAAAAAAAAAACTAGCCTATCATAAAATGCACATGGAAACAAAAAAAAAAATCTCACTTATCTGCCCAGGAAACCTCCAGTGTCTTCCCACTTTTACTGCCTGACTCAACAAAAGCTTTTAGGACTAAACACTGAGGACTATCAATCCACTGACCCTGCCCCCATCTGTACATCCATAGGTGGAAAATAGCATTGCCACAGAGGAAACTTAACAACCTGCCCCCTTGCCCCGTCCCAGCCATCCTTACACAGGCAGCCTACCAGTCTCCCCTTCCTGATCTGGCCCTTGTGCCTGTCTCGTGCCAAAATATCCTCATGCTGCAAATATCTGGCCAACACACTGTTGGCCCCCTTCCAGACAGGAGCTGCTGTGTCACAGATCCGTCCAGTGGAGCCCAGGGAACAACACCTGGGCACTGTCTCCTGAGTCACAGCAGAGACCTCTGACAGCTGTCTCTAAATTCCTGGACCACTTCTGCGACAGATGTGCTGAAAGAGTTCCCCTTTCTAGGTCTAAGACCCAAATCGATGCTCTACCTCTCTACAAATGTTTTCTTCTTTCTCTGTTTAGGACTTCTACTAAAGGCACTAACTCTGCAGCCTTCCCAATGTTCCTTTCTACCCCTAACACACGGGTCTGTATTCTCCAGCTTTTTCTTCCCTCCTGGCTTAGAGAAAGCATTCTTCCTATCTCAAGCATTGATTTAAAAACAAAATTGTCTTTTCTTTTTTGGTACTGGAGATCGAACCTAGAACATCGCACTTGCTAGACAAGCACTTTGCCGCTGAATTACATCCCAGCCTGCTCAGAAATGGATTTTTGAGTGCTCCCAATACAAAGAAATGTTTAAGGTGACCAATACCTCCATCTGATTACTGTATATTATATACATGGACTGCAGGGTCACATAGGAATTATATCAACTTAACAAATGAAGTCCTCTTCCTTTGATCACTTTCTAAGCCCCATGAGCACTGAGATTCTAGACTCATAGTGTCTCTCCTTTCTGTATAATTTTCCCACCCATTCAGTTTTATTTTGACCAAGTGTCCTTGTCCAATTCTGCTGCACCTGCCATGTAGCATTTCCTTTTGCTCTTTCTTTCCCAGCACAATCTCTGGACCTGGCAAAGCTATACCTCATCATTATACTAACAAAGCATCAGGAGTGAGGATAGTGGAAAGCCCAGATCACACCCACACCTCTGCCAATGGCCATTTCCGTGACCATAAAGTGAGCAAGCCCTTAATCCTCCATGTCAATTTCCTCCTCTGTAAAACCAGATTAATAGCATCTGCTCCACCTCCCTCACAGGTTCAGTGTGAGGATCAAATGAGGCTGTGTGTGGGAAACAGCCCTGGGAGCCATAAAGCTCTCTGACATCCTTGCTATTCCTGTCTTATGCTCCCTCTGTTGACCTTGACCTGGCCGTAGGCAAGGTTAGCTACTGTGGTCTTGAGGTTGGTCAGTTAACACTATTACATTGTCCACATTTTAGAGTCTGCTATGACTTCTATAGGATCCCATTTCATCCATTATGGGAATAATCATATTTCATTCCAAACAAGCCTACCTTCTGCTGTTTAATTACATGAGCACAGACTTCTGGAAGATAGTAGTAGCCAGAAATGAAAGATCCTGTACCAACAAGTACCATATGAGAGGTTTCATTATTATATATCTCCATCTTACTGCTAGAGAAACTGAGGCACAGCAGCGCAGACATGATTGGAACTTGGGCATCTCATTCTAGAACCCATGCCCTTACACATGGTCTCACAGCTTCTTTAGTGGGTTTGAGATGGATAGAGAAAAACACGTGAAGAGGTTATAGCCACCAGTGTATGGGTGGCAGGGAATAATGTGGATCTGATCAAGAACATGGAAACTCTTTCAAAACAAATAACATCATTATTGAGATGGCTAATTCCAGACGCCACTTGGAGCTAAGAACCAACAGACACTTCTCTGTCCCGTGGTACCACATAGCAGAATGCATAGAAACCCGTGAGCTAGAGTCCTATTGACCCAGCAATGCCAGTTGTGGTAGCAATTCATCCTAGAGAAATAAGCATGGATGCCCACAAGGCAAGTTTAAAGAAGTACAGAGAAGCACTGGAAATGTCAGTGATAAAAGACAGGGTAGAGAAACCAGTCCTGGGGGCTGGTAAGTTGGCCCAGTGGTAGAGCGCTTGCCTTGCATGCCTGAGGCCCTGGGTTCGATTCCTCAGCACCACAAAAGCAAAAATAAAAAAAGCCAGAAGTGGCGCTGTGGCTCAAGTGGTAGAGCACTAGCCTTGAGCTGAAGAGCTGAGGGACAGCGCCCAGGCCCAGAGTTCAGGCCCCATGACTGGACCAAAAAAAAAAAGAGAATCCAGTCCTGGCATATCTATAAACATTATGTCGTCATGTAAAATGATAATGCAGTTTTAAAAAGGGAATTAGTATTTTGTTAATGAAAAAAAGAATATAATAATTTATTGATGTGGAATTCAGTGTCTGACAAGTTCACGTTCTCAGTGGGTTTACTAGCTGTGTGAGCATGGCAAATCATTTAATTTTTCTGATTTTTAGTTTTTCTCCTATGCAAACGGGGGGTCGAAATACCAACTTCAAAAGGGCTAAGTGAATTAATAAAGTAACATATATAAAGTGACTGGTACAGAGCCAGAGACGGTATGCATGTGATAGTAATCATTTGTAAAAAAAAATGCAGTAAATTATTATACATGCACACACATCCTACACAAACTACAAAACCAAGAAAAATAATGCAGTGAAATTTAAACATTAATTCTTTCTGGAAGTGGAGAAAGAAACCATTTTGTTCTTTTAAAGTATCTGCTTTTTTGTTAAGACTTTGTTTGAAAAAAGACAGCAGCAATATTTAACTATCAAAAACTATCAAGTGACCTAAAAAAAAGACCCCCCCCCCTTTGATCTATTAAAGTTTCCTACTGGGACTGGGAAGGTGGCTCAGTGGTAGAGCGCTTGCCTTGCATGCCTGAGGCCCTGGGTTCGATTCCTCAGCACCACATAAGCAAAAAGAAAAAAAAGCCAGAAGTGGCGCTGTGGCTCAAGTGGTAGAGCACTAGCCTTGAGCTGAAGAGCTGAGGGACAGCGCCCAGGCCCAGAGTTCAGGCCCCACAACCGGACCCCACCCAAAAAAAAGTTTCCTACTGTCATCTAGACTATGCATATTGTGTTTATGGAAACAAACTACTTTTATGGATTTAATCTGAAGAGTAATACATCCTATCTTCATTCTTCAGAGTAAAAAACAAACAACTCTAATTTCACCTCGTAAAAGTCTTTTCTGCACTCTTATATCTTTGCAGATTCAGGTCACCCTGAGTGAAAAAAAAAAAAAAAGTAGGGGAAGAGAATGGATGCATATCTTTGAAATCAAAATTAAAGGAGGCAAACACCACAACTTCATGATGGTGAAGGGTGAAAGCACACATATTACCTTAATTGTGTATGGTCAGAAATCACTGCAGTAAGTATTTCAGCTCCGTGGACAATTTCCTCGTGTGGTCAACAGATGGAAGTAACTGAATAGTCTTGCTGTATTCCCGTAGAGTGCCAGTCATTCTGAAAGCAAAAAGGAATCTTGTTGAGGGGAATGTGATGGTCTACACTCCTTTCCTGAGACACACTGCAGAAGGGAAGCCATTATCAGAGACAGACAAGCATTTTGGAAATCAAAGCACAGCTTGGCCACTTTTCTTCTTAGAGGCCAGGCCAGGCAGGCCAGAATAAAACAGTGTCTGTTTTAGGTAAAAGCTAATTGCCTGTATTCCTTTTTTTTTTTTTTTTAGCAACCCACTGTCATTTCCCAGAATAACATTTGATCCTTCACAGCCCAAGTCACCTTATGCATACCACCCAATCTTCACATTAGACCATCGTCCTATTTGTGAGGAAAAGTTGTCTTTTCTATCAAACTCTGTTGCTTAAAAGTCCCTGCTTTGACCTAGTGGCTCGGCTCTTGTAAAGGAAAAGTGGAACTGCTTAGGGATAAGGAAGGGTTTTTGAAACATAAGGTTTTGTCTTAAATGGGTTTCTTTTTGAGATGGAATTAAGACACACCTCAGATTGTTCTAGACAGAGCAGAGGGTGCGGTATATTTTGAGATTACTTGTGTATTGTTAATATTATTTCAAAGTCACCTCAAGTAAATACATTTCAGCCTATTCGCACTAGCCAATCACGAGCAGATTGTGAACCAGAACTCAACCAATCCGAGAAGAGGGGTGGGGCCTGAGGCACTATGTGAACAAGAACTCAATCAATCCAAGAAGAGGGGGCGGGGCCTGCTGAACTAGGGATAGAGGAGCAGCCTTCCTGCTCCACATGCCAGAGTTTTGGTTGGTGGTAGGCCCTATTTTGCCTTGCTGAGATAATCCTTTATTTCCGTGTTTATCATGGTGATGCCAATGGTTCTTGGAAAGCATATTTGTAACATTGTATTCTCTGGTCTCCCTGGGCAAACCCAGGTGGATGGTATATAAACTGAGAATCCTGTCTCTAAGGTTGCTGTGAGAGTAAAAACAGCAAGATCTTGTGCCTCTGAGAACACATGGCAGAAATTCACCAACATAAGCCATTTCCCTTCCATTTTACAGACAATATCAAATCTAGGGTGCTCCAGATGGGAACTCGCAAACCCAGCTTTCTCCCAGGTAGGAAAAGCCATGAGACTTATCTCCAATTAACCACCAGAAAACCCAAAGTGGCCTGTGATTCGGTGGCAGAGCGCTAACCTTGAGCAAAAGAGCTCAGGGACAGGGCCCAGGCCCTGAGTTTAAGCCCTACTGCCTACAAAAAACCAAACCCTGCTTTCTTTTGTATCCAAACCCTCATTGCAGTGATCAAATATCAACTGTTCTTTCCGTTGATTTTCAGACTTTCTGAGATCTAGCATTACTCAGTTCTGCCAGTTTCCAAGAGGCACCTTTTGCTCTAGTCAGATTAGCCTGACCATTTGCCAAAGAACACACACTTGTCTGCCCTAGGTCGGCACCATATAATGAGATATGGGCTCTCTTGTTCTCTCCGGAGGCCCAGCTTGTATCTGCGGCCCCAGCGACGCCAAGCTCCCACACATTGTACCTCTCACTAACCTCCTGTAACACTACTGCCCCAGTATTTGAAGTAAGCTTTTCACGGTGAATAGAGTAAGATTTTACAAGCCAATTCTTTTTAGACCAATTCTACTAATGTCTCAGCCCCAGTATCAGGGTTGAAATGCAAGGACTATGATTGCTTGTTTAGCCAGAGTGATCATGACTCCTGTTCAGCATTTTGCTGGTTATTTTGGAGATGAAATCTTATGGTCTTTTCTGCTTGGCTGGCTTTGAGCCATTAACCTTCTGATCTCAGCCTCCTGAATAGCTTGGATTATAGGCATGAGACACCAGAATTCAGCTTCTACCATTTTTTCCCCCTGCAACTAACAGGCTTTATTCCTTTACTAGAAAATACACATAAGAAGTGACACACACTTGAGGAAACAGGTTTAATCTGATTTAAACACTATATAACAAATACTTATCTTGTTTTTTTGTGTTTTGGGTTTTTGTTGTTGTTGTTCTGTCAGACCTTGGGCTTGAACTTAGGGCCTGGGTACTGTACTTGAGCTCTTTTGCTCAAGGCTAGTGCTCTATCACTTTGAGCAGTGTCACTTCCAGGTTCTTGAGTGATTTAATATAGATAAGAGTCTCAGAAACTTTCCTGCCTGGGTTGGCTTTGAACCGTGATCCTCAGATCTCAGCCTGAGTAGCTAGGATTATAGGCGTGAGCCACCAGCGCCCAGCTACATACACCTATCTTGAAACATTATATTACCTCACCTCACTGGCATGTACAATTTGTATGTGCCAGTAAAAATGGAAATATTATTATTATTGGCTGTATTGGGGTTTGAACTTAGGGCCTCAAGCTTGCTAAGCAAGCGCTCTACCACTTGAGCCACACCCTCAGCTGTTTGAATGCCATAGTTTCTTTTTCAGGTAGAGTCCCATGCTTGAACAATCCTCCTCCTTCTGCTTCCCACCTAGCTGGGATTCCAGCCACGTACTATACCATGTTCATCTTGTTTTTAGACATACAGTCTCCCTATCTTCCCTGTTTCTCCCTTCTCTGTCTCCTACTTAGCTAAGATTACAACATATGAGCCTCCTTCATACTTGGTCCTTTATTTTCATACTAGAGTAGGAAAACTGCTGATTTTATTATTATTACTTGCCAGTCCTGGGGCTTGAACTCAGGGCCTGGGCACTGTCCCTGAGTTTCTTTTGCACTTTTAGCACTCTACCACTTAAGCTACAGTGCCACTTTTGGGTTTTCTGTTTATGTGGTACTGAGGAATTGAACTCAGGGCTTCATGCATGCTAGGCAAGCACTCTACCACTAAGCCACCTTCCCAGCCCCTGGAGGATATTATTAATGTCCTGATAATGGGGAGAAATCCACACGTTAATTGGGAACATTTAACAATGGAGAACAAAGCCAAGTCAAGGCTATTAGGCTTAGAAAAGATCATTAACACAAAAATTCAGAGGTAAATACTTGATCTAGTGGAATAGCACCCAAACTCTTGTCATCCATGCTGCTCAATGGGGGTCCCACCCAATTTACCTCTAAAATAGAAACATCACTGCCTCACTGGTCTATTTCAAGACAATTAAAGACAATGCAGTGAACTTGGTGAGTTAAACAATCACCATAAAAACAAAATAACAATGAACCCCACTATTTGCTAAGCAATGTTAGGTCAATCATGCAGGCACTATCTTTCCTTGGGAATAAGTATCCATAGATAGTAACATGATAATTAGATTTACATTTTACAAATAAGCGAGGTAATAATCCAAAAGACTAGCCCCAGCAGTCTAGACACAATAGAGCTGTGTAGACTTAATCCAGAGAACAGCTTACTGCTGCTCCTCCACCAGCAATGAGCCTGGGTTATTATTGCAAGAGCCATTCTTTTAAATTTCTCCATTGCTTCCTAGGAGAGGAAGACAAAAGTGCAATGCCATCTGATGACAGAAAATAATATGTATCCAAATGAGCTCCAGGAAATGGAAACAAAAGGGTTTATTTCTTTGTTGTTGTTTTTGTTTTAACTGCTTTGGGAGGGCAAGGAGGGGACACAGAAATGGAGGGACAAAGGGTATACAAATGCAGCAGAAATACTCTAGACACTATGTTGAAAATGAACCATACAACTTATAGGAAAGAGAGAGCGAGGGAAGGAGTGACATTGTCTAAAAAGAAATGTGCTCTTTACCTGACTTATATAACTGTGACCCCTCTGTACCACACAATAAAAACAATAAAAAACAACAATATTAACAAAAAATTGGGGAAAAAAGTCTCCATTGTACCCTCCTCCTTCCTCTAAAATAGTCTTACTAGTAGTATCATTCTGATAGGAAGATAAAATAGTTTTGTTGGGGAGCCAAGGTTACTTAACAGTCATTCCAAGCTCAACCCAATGACAGTTGCTTTCCTTCCTTCCAAACACCCTTAAAGCTACTTCAGCCACTTGTACCTTAGTGACGCCTGTGGTAACGGCACACGCCCGAGCCCACGCTTTTGTCAAAGGCCAAGCACACTCTGCTTCATAAATAGTTTATGTATGTGCACCTGTGCTGAAATTCCAGATGAAGAGGCATGCTCAGAACCCTGTAATATGCCGCTGCCCAAATGGCATGCTATGGAAGGACTTTTGCTACCTCCTATCGGGGTTTCCTTCATTTCAGAAGGAGGCAGAAGGTGGGAGCCCATAATTAAAACTGGCTTCAGCATACATCTCATTTATCTAGTCGCTGAGAATTCCTAGAGCAAAGGCCCACAGTGTATATGAGCTTCGTAGATGGGTTTTATGAAGGATGATTAACAGCACCAAATTATCCATTGTCCAAAAAGCAAAACTCGTACTTTTACAACTCCACAGAAGACTTGTAGATGATGCTTAGAAATATGAGGGCGATGGGTTTATAGAATAAACTAGTTTCCACACTGACTCTGGAGAATGGAGAAAAGCATCTCTAGTTTGTATAGTTAGCTCATCCCTAATTCAAATCCAAATTCCCTGCTGGTTTGGAGCAGGTACAGCTTCCCATGTCCCCTGACTGCCTACCCCCTCCCCTCACCACCACTTGACACCTCGCCATGAGGATCTGGCTAGGGGTAAGTAGGAAGCAAAGCCCAACACACAGCCTGGCTCCAGCCAGCACTTGATTGTGACCCGATTGACTTGGTGACAGAATGCTTTGATTTCTCAGCTTCCCTCATTCGTGTGAGTGGAGGCTTCTTTCTTTCAGGGAAACCATGGTGGGCTTCCCCAAGGAGACAAGGGTCTGAGAATCAAACCAACTTCCCCCAACCGGGAGAAGAGAAGCCTGGAAGAGAACGAGGTTGGTCCAGTAGCAGGGGGCCAGCCAGACCTCCTCTCAGTCTGCACCCCTTGTTTGTAGGAGCTCTTGGAGAATGGCGAAGTGCTGAGCTTGAACTCCTTATGAATCAGCATCCCTTCCTCCCTGCCTCAAACAGGGCCTCTCAAAAGAGGCAGAGACCATGTG